AAAATTAATACCTACATTTTAAGTTTCACTGAGTTAACGCAGCTATGGATGACATGTAAAAGGTTAGTCTTTTTGCCCCCCAGCGTTGTATGCCTGCGTGAAATTTGCGTATGTCTAATAACATCCAATAACATGCATGGTGTCTAAGTCATAAGTCAGTGCCTCACCAGCAATGAACCTCACTGCACGTCACTTATATATATACATATATATATACATATATGTGTGTGTGTGATATTAATATCTCCCTGTAAGACTAAAGTCTAACTTTCTACAGTTGGAACGAAATCCTTAAACTATCAGCAGGTTTTCTGCAATTTTCTTCTTTGTTTTTAGTTTGTATCTCAGAAGTATTAGGTTAAGGGCTAAATTAGATTGAAGAACTTAACACACTTGTGTTTCAGGGCTGGATCCACTCTATTATTTTTAAAGTCTCTTACTTATTTCTGCAGAGGCAGGGCACAATAAGTGTGTTATCCTCGTGTTTCAGAATAGAGAATAGAGTGGTGGGACATATGCTCAGAATCACAGAAAGGTGCAGTTCTAGTAACCCCAGAGGAATGTGTGCCATCCATAAATCTGGCTGCTTGGCTGCTGCTGGGATGGAAGCTGCCCAGCCTACTCCGTCGCTCTCATGCATTTCTAGACATTCAGGATAGAACACACCAGAATACCAGATCCAGTTAGTCAGGCACATCACAGGTTAAACAAAAGGCCACCAGTGTCCTGCTGCTTTCATGCCACAGCCAGAGGAATCCTCAGTTTTCCAGCTGCTGACATTCATTTTCTATTTTTTCCCTTCTTTTTTCCATTTTTCCTGGTGCTGTCCAACAGGTGGGGTTGTTTAACTTCCGTCCATCTGTGCGTCCTGTCCCACTGGAAGTTCACATTCATGGTTTCCCAGGACAACACTACTGTCCCCGAATGGCCAGCATGAACAAACCCACTTTCCAAGGTCCAGCTGCACATTCACATTCATGTCTTCATATAGTCATTAGCAGTCATCTTCTGTGTCAGATACTGTGAGATCAGGTTCTAAAAGGTTTTAAGCAAAAATATTTGTCTAACATTTAGCATTACAGAGAAAACAGCTGCTGATATAGAAAGCATTAACATATGTATGTTTTTATGTTAAATTATGCCTTTGGATGTGGGACTTGAAAATTGCTATTCAAACCTAAGAAGTATTAGCCAATATATTTCTGACATTTCTTTGTAGCAATACGCAGTCATTCACCTGCCAAGCCAGTGCTGATTTTTGTGTCATCAAGAAGACAAACCCGTCTGACTGCCCTGGACCTGATTGCCTATCTGGCCACAGAGGACAACCCCAAGCAGTGGCTGCACCAAGACGAGAGTATGGTATGTTGACACTCTCTCCTGTTTCCAAACCGCAGTAATCAGCCTTCATTCAGAGAAACGATTACAGATTTGTTCAACTACCAGCATCATATCTGAAGATCTGATCACACTGGGCTGGCCAGCTAGACTGATTACTTTAAGGATTATAACTCTTTTTTTGCATGTTTAATTTGGCAAACCTTCACAATAAAAGCCTCATCAAAGTAGTAAAGCTAATGACATGCATCAAAAACACAACAGTCTGAATTCAGGCTGTAGCTTAAACTTGCTGAACAGGGATAACTACAGCCCGAGTGTATTGGTGAGTTTGTGATTAAAATATGACAAATATTATACTGCTGCTGCTAATAATCAAAATAGTAGTATCATTGGTGTTGAATATGGATTGATATCAGAGTAAGCTTTTTTTGAAAGTTGTTTTGTTTTAAAATGCTCTTTAACAAATTAAATAGTTTTGAGTTAGACCAACACTTTGAAATGCCATTGTCTTCGGAATGGCATTTGGGACAGTTGGCAAAGGTGTGCCAACTCATGAGAAAATATTGAGAAATTGCATTTGCCTTTCCTGTTCCATGCTTTTTTTCTGCAAGAGCTACACTTTCATATTTTTATACAATTGGGATTTTTATAATATAGTAGAAATATTTTTTTAATGGACTCTTTTCACGACGTCAGACAACATCCGTTTTGACAGTGTATCTTTAGTTCCGGTGTGTGGAGTTAACGCTGTTTCTGGACTCTAAAGCAGCTGCCACAAATATGATTTTAAGATGCATCACTATTTTGCAAACAATTTTTCTTCATCAACATAATCTAAACTGGACAAATTCCTCTCTGAATGATACCAGTTTGACTACGAAGGTACATGTTTTGGTTTTTTCTGGCTGTTAGTTGATATGCTAGGATAGCAATAGTAATTTGTTAGCTGGCTAGCATTACATAGCCTTTCTGTTTTGGAAATAAAATGTATTTAGGCTCTAATCTTAATCAGATTTTTATAGTATAGACTGGGGTTGCCACCCGTCACGTAAAATGCATGATCGTATTAACCCCTCCTCACGTCATATGCTAGTTTCACCACCCGCTCAGTAGCGACATTACCTGTAGTCTCAAGTCCAAAACTTGACAGTTATGCCAAACACCCGCTACTCCATCATGTCCTGAGAAATCAAACTCCTGCTTCGATAGAGACAGGAGTAGGAAGACACTGTCATAGATAGATAGATAGATAGATAGATAGATAGATAGATAGATAGATAGATAGATAGATAGATAGATAGATATTAAAGTTTCATTGGAGAAATGTGATGGGCTATATATACATATGAAACCATGTACAGTGTTTAATATAATTATTACATAGATGTTTGCAAGAAACAGCCACAAACCTTATGTCTTTGTTCCACAATGGCAGCTTTAATTTTAGCATTTCCTCTCCTCCACATACTTTGTTGCCAGATGTGTAAAATTTACAAAAAGAAGCAATTTAAATGTAAAAGTTGCACATATGTAGATTACTCAAGAGAAGCTATTTACAATAATTTTTACAGAACTCTACACAACATCAATTCATTTATTAATAGATGCATATAGATATTAATTACAGGATAGATACACAAAGATTTCATTTCTAACACAGCTGCTTGCAGTAATGAGTGTTCATCCAAGAAGTGTGGCTTGCAGGAGCAGGGAGGCTCTGTACTGGTTTATCTCCTTTTAAATCAAGAGGCCCCTGATAGGTTGACGTTAGGCAGCAGATGTCCCACAGCTGATTGAACCTACCATGGACAGAGGAACAAGACCATCCCAGATATGGTAGGTTGTTAGGTAGGCTACTATTGAGAAAGATGGACACAACAAAACAAAAGGAGAAATTATGAATCACATCAGAATATGTAAATTATTTGGCAGATAGAGTTTAAGTCAATATTTAAAATGCTTTTCTAAACACCAGTGTTGGAAGATGTCAGTGATTTTAGTGAAACATTTAACAATACAGCACTGACAGGCAGCGGTGTTTATGTTTCCTAACTGTGGCTAAAGCTGCTGCTTGCTGGTTTACTCTCCGATCAGAGGCTGGTTCCTTTAAATGCAGTTGGAGAATGGTGAATTGACAATGACTGATAACGGCTAACACTTAAATACTGTTTTATTAAAGTTAATACAGAAAGTGAACCTCTAAACGTTACAGCACTGACAGACAGCGGTGTATATATTTCCAACTGTGGCTAAAGCTGCTGCTAGCTGGTTTACTCTCCGATCGGAGGCTGTTTATTATATACAGAGATAGAGAATGGTGGATTGACAATGAGTAATAACGGCTATCTAACACTTAAATGCTGTAATTAACCTTACTTTTTATTATATCCTTAAGATAATGAGTATCCGTTAATTTTTCAATCAGGTTTCCTGAGGCAAAATGACACTGGAAGTAAAGATATACCTCTTAGAGTTATGGGGGCCATTGTTTGACATCACTGTGAAAAGGGTCTATTGTCCTTCAGTGGGAAAATTCAGATGTAACGACAGCATTGTGGTAGGTTTACACAGATAAAAAAAATATTAAAATAATAACTATAGAATAATGTACTGTACAGTAAGGACAAGATTATGACATAAAAATAATGTGCAGTTATCAGAAATAGTGCACAATTTTCTTTCCTCTAAATAAAAGCCATGATATATGTTTGTAATATGGTCCATTCTTAGTTACAAACACAGAATTAAAACTTTGTCTTTGAAATGTTCTGTTTTAGTTAAAAATGTTTGGGTTACTAAATATTTTAGAATAATTTTTCACTGCAATCTTTAAGGCGTTTTGCCCCTTCTTTGAAAAATAGCTCAAGCCTATTCAGAACATGAAAACATTTTTGCGAGGTCATTCACACATCTAGTCAACTACATGTGTGGAATAAAGATGCACTTAAAAGTTGTAAGACAGTAGCTTTTGAGTTGGAGAATGCTGATCTAAACTGTTCCACTATAGCCCTATCTTTATAACTGTTTGGTGCAGTTTTCCTGCTGGAATCTGAACTACCACCCAAAAGACAAGCTGGACTTTTTATGGCTTTCTTTCATCGTTCCAGTCTTCCATAAAGACCAAATTTATTGACTGTGGTCTTGTTGGTATGTTTGTGTAGGTATATCTCTTCCTCTAATTAAGCACTAAGGTATTGTCCTATTGTTGAAGCAGCTTCTCCACAGTTAAAATGGGCTTTATGGCTGCTTCTCTGATTGTTTTACTTGCTCATTCTGTCAGTATAAGTCTTGGTAGGTTACAATTCTGTATGTTGGATTGTTTTAACTAAATGTCCCAAGTCTTGGAATATGTCTATAACTAGGGGAGCAGCAATTTACCAGTGCTGATTTCTTTAATTATAGGAAATGGGTAATCAGTTGATACGTATTTGTGAAGCCGATCATATCCCTCGATCTTATCTATCTCAGCAATGGTCTAAAAATCAACCACTGTCCTCTTCTGCTCTCCTGTATGACAGGGGTTTGACTGTTAGCCCTTACCCTAACCCCATCCCACCAGGTCATGTCTCCACCCTTGCGTTTAGCAATAGTCACCCCACTTTTGCCAATTCAGCGACTTTCTTGCTATATTTAGTGACATTTCAGACAAAAAAAAAACATTTGTCTTTGCCAAAATCAAAATCTGTAGGTCAGACTTTTTAACGATTGTTAATCTGTGATCAACCAGAAAACTGCAGTCTGTGCATCCCTATCTATAACCTAACCCTGCTTTAAACTTGTCCACAACTTTCTTCCTGACCTGTCTGCTCCTTCCTGTGGCTTTCTCAGAGTTGTTAGTTTGTTCACTAATCTTCTCATGCAAACACTTGAGGACTTTAAAGGATAGATTTGTGGTGAGGTTAGTTTACATTGATTAATTTAATCTCCTAATTAATTCTGGAAAAACAACTGGTTATGAGAATGGTGAATGAAAATATGTGGTGTTTCCAATTTGTATTTCCAAAAATCCCCCAAAACCTATGTATAATTTTTGTTCGACTTCATAATGATGTGCTGTTGACCTGTCCCAAACATTCATGAGTACTTCTGTAAAGCATTTTAGACTAGACCTATTGCGATAAACAATAAATCAATCACATGATAAATTAGCGGTTCTCAACGTGGGCGGTACTGCCCCCCGGGGGGCA